CAGCAGCTCGGCTCGCAGCCTCTCAGGAACGTCCTCTGTCTGTCCAACAGCATCAGACAAACACTCATTTTAAAGGTGAAACTGCTTTATTCTGTGTTTTTAGTGATTTTAAATTACTGAAGGAGACCTCTGCGAATAATTTGGCTGCCAGTAGAAACCTCCTGAACAATGAACACTGAAGGATTCTTGCATGCAATTATGGCAATAGTGGTGAAGGCCACAACTCCCATGATCCCACACTATTTCACAACATCATCAAACTTCATCTTTTGTCATTGCTTTGATGTGAACGACCTGCTAGCGGCACAAATTACATAGTATACATTTAAGTACTTATGATGCTGTATAACAGTATAACTTATTTGTAGTCGACAGCCATGAATATACACAATTGTCATACACAGATGCCCTCTGTAAGTCCTAATTGTTTTTTTGCTGTCACAAATTATCTCAGTGGAGAAAGCTAAATTTGTTTCTGGACCTTTGAATCATCACAGCAATTTGGATTGGTCTGGTGTTGTGTTCAATGTCAGCTATTTCTGCCGGTTAGAGAAACAGTTGAGTGTGGGGACGTCATCTTTGTATAATAGTTCGCTACCTAGCTACAGTCATGAACACTAGTGACAAAAAAACACAATAGAGGCTGCTGTTCAATGACTTGCAGAAATAAGTGACATATTTTTTTAAACATCGTGAAAATTGCTAACTGCTCCCAGCAACCACTACCACAGCATCAAGGCCGAATGAATCAAGTGAAATGAAATGGCAATTCAGTCTGATTATGAGACTATTACATTCCACACAGGCCACCAAAGTGGGTCTCTTACTTTATAACAATTAAATTAGTTTATCCATTTATGATGTTTGGACACAGGGTTAATTCATTTCTGTATATTTGTGCCAACTGTGCTCTTGTAAGCGATATCATTCAAAGCAACCTCTATCTATGAAACCTATGGAACAAATTCACCTTCATTGGCAAAGGCGGACATAAATAACAGCTTTCACTTCCAAAAAGAACATTCTGTACCTGGTCAGCACTGTCCAATCACGTTGCAGCGTTGCCTGAGCCCTGTGCAGCTGGCAGTGATAAGGTTATACTGATACTGGACTTTATCTATCATGAGTTTAACCTCCAGCATGAGAGAGGCTGAAGTGCCCTGATCTGTTGCTGAGCCAGAACACCTGGTTCTGGGTGAATCATTTGCTCTGGTCAGGCTGTGAGAAGTCAACACCTGAGCTTTCCTTCACTGACTCGCAGAGCTAACGAACACTTTGTCCGTGTCTAATACACTATGGACTTCAGAGACTCCCTCCATTGACTTGCTAAACCTCCATTGACTTCCTAATCCAGAGGATGTTAGTGGAGGGGAGCTGTCATGCCGGTGGGGGGCGATGGGGGGGAGTGAGTGAAATGCTGAACGCAGCACTGACCGACCAACCTCTCAGATGCTGTGACGTTAAATATCCTCCTTCTAGCACAGCAGCAAAGTTCCCATCCACCTCTGGGAGCTTGTGAGGTTTCCAAAATGTAAATATAGAATTAATGTGTAAGATATTGATGTGCTCAGCAGAGAGGTTGTAGACATTTCAGACGGGGGTGGATGCAGAACACATACAAGGCCTTAAGGTTGGAGTGGTGGGTGTGGTTAATGGAGGCACCACTTGTGTTGATGTTGAGGCTAAAGCACTAGAGTACAAGTAAACACTATTAGTAGTAGTACTCCTTGAATTTACTGGAACTCACATCTGGCTTTATTAGTATTCAGTAATCAAATTCTTTAACACTTTTCTGATGCAGTGCAAAGTGCTGATTGGCTGAAGTTTGTCGCTTGACACCAGATGGACAGAAGAAGAAATCAGGACCTGGGGCACAGAAGGAGGGAGAGGAGGGAGGATTTAGAGCTTTTAAGGATTAGAGCAGTCGAAAGAGAGAGAAAA